TCTTTGCAGATATTAAAAATTTTAAGAATTTTCAAGCGGATAATTATAAACCCAACAACAAGATTTAATAAGTTTGCAGGTTGCAATACCAATAGCAAAAAAAGTTAAGAGTTTTTTCATTCACTTAGCTCTTGAACTTCTTCTCTTTATAGAGGATAAGATTTTATTTATAGCCTTTTGAATTGGGCATTTTAGTAAATTTGGTCGGAATCCAAAAAATTTCATAGTATAATTCATATTGATTCCCATGATTGTAGACCTTTTGTGAAATATTTGAATGCAATTACAATGTCAGAATCAATTGATCTTAGCATCGTTAGATTCATCTCGCCGAGTCGCTCGATTTGACGTTATGTATGATACAATTAGAGGTCGTTTGGTAGATCAATTTATCTTTAAAATTTTTCAAATATAATTCAAGTACTTGATTTTAGCTCATTTTAGAATCAGGTCGAATCACTTATAGCATTGATAGATTCCTCTTGTCGAGATGTTTAAATTTGTTGAAATCAAAATTCAAATAATCTTAAATTTAATTCTAAAATTTTTTAGAGACATATTAAATATAAAGGATGCTCATCTACTCCTTCATTTTTTAAATACTTTATGAAGATAATTTGAATTCAAATTTTGAATGTGGAGGGGGCGGTTTGGGCTTTGGAGGGAGTTTGTATTAGGAAAGTTATGTATTAAAGAGGAGAGGTGCTAGGGTTAGGTTATGCATGATTTGAGTTTCTCTTGGAGTTCTTGGATGTTTTGGCTCTAGATTGGCTTTTGTCTAGAGATTTGGAAGAGAATGATCCTCCTCTCGAATTAAGGATCACTTGTTTTTTACCTCTGTGACAAAACCAAGAGAATAAAAAAGAAAAAAATGCTCATTACCTGTGCTGGTGACTCATCCCGAAATCCTGGCCGAATCTGCATAGACTGCCGCATGAACAGTGCCCCATACCTCTGCAACGGCGCCGAAACGTCTCTTCTCCCGCGTGCATTCTTTGACCGAGCTTCTGCCTACGCTAATAAAAGGGTCATCAGTTCCAGTGAAGTCAAGGTACTTCTGTAAGAGTCTCCTGCAACCCCGCACTTACTGCTCCTCTCCATCTATCTTCGATTATCTGCTGTTTGGATTAGCTCCATTGTCTCCTTTAACCCCCTCGGTCTCAGCAATCGGAGGTCTGCTTGTAGGTCAAGCTTGAGGCCCTTCATGAAATGTTCCTCCAACACCGCCTCTGAAATTCCCCTCAACCTCCCTAAAAGTAACTCAAATATTTCCTTGTACTCCATGACAGTCACCTCCTGAGTCAAGGCAATGAATTGCTCGTGTATGTCTCCTTCCCAACTGGCTCGAAAATGTTCTAACAAGCAATCCTTAAACTCCTTCCACGAACGAATTGAATATCTAGCCTCTCTCCACTGGAACCAAGTGAGGGCTTTCCCCTCCAGACATAACCCTGCAGCTGTAAGCTCCTCCTCCTCTCTTAAACCATTCACCGCAGAATACATATCCACCCGGTGTACCCACCCATGGGAATCCTCCCCTTCAAACACCGACATTTTCAACTTCCTAAAATTCGTTTCTCCACCCCAACTTCCTCTCACACCAATGGTTCCCCCCATGTATTGAGGGTGGGTATCCCACCCTTCTTCCATCCACCTCCCATGTCCCGATCCCCATGCCTCGGTTCATCCACCTCATTCTCTGGTTGTCCACTCCCCTTGCCCAAACGGCCTCCCATAGTAGTCGGTCATCCTACCACTTCCACCATAAAACTCCCTTCCTGTTATCCCCTAATCTGAAAACCCTATTCCACTCCTTATCGGAGCCCTAGGAAGTAGCTCTAGATAAAAGGAATTCTCTTCATCGAATTCTTCTCATCCGATTTCTTTTCCTTTAGATTTGAACAAGGGAATCCCGACCGAATCGTGGTGAGGGTTGGCAATAGGAACCGTTGGTGAATTTTTTGTTTACATCTCCATGAGCTTCATCATCATCTCCTCCAATCCCCCAAATCGGCTCTCCATCCAATTCTTCATGGTTGAAAATCTTCCTTCAATGGTTGAGAATTTATCCTCCACCCTGGATTTGAATTGCTTCATTTTACCTTCCAACGCATCCACTTTCTTTGTTGTCATAACCTCCAAGAAACCTCGCTCAGATACCAATTTGATGTGTTTTGGTAGTAAAAATCAGCAAAGGAGATAAGAATAAAGTGCATAAATACAAATTTAGAAGATGAATTTGGATTTCTTCTTCAAAAGCAATGCAAGATACAATTGATCTGCTATTTAAGAGGTAGATCGGCTCTCTCACAATCCTAGGCGCCGCTAGGAACTCAATAACATAGAAAAACTATAGTAAACATGTAACTCCCCCTAACCCTAGCCAATAACTTCCTTTAAATAGCTTTAACCCCCATTAAACTCAATAAAAACTTTCCTAAATATTTCTCCCTTGAAATTTCTCCTCCTTAAATAATGAATCTTAACTCCCCTGGGCTCCACAATACGTTTCAAAATACCTTCCCTGCTGTTTTGATTCCCGCCCAGCTACTCTGCTGGGTTTGACGAGTCAGAAGCGGGCGACTGGCTCTGCTCGCATAGGGTGTAGAAGTAACAACACCATGAATGCAAAATTGATTCAATGGAGAGTAAAGGAACATATATTAAAGGAATCTAATGATTCACAAATCATTAAAGGAATCTAACAAAATCAAAGATATATATATATATATATATATCATTGAATCCTAAAAAGATTGGGATCATGTAAAATCTTACTACACATTAGGGTGAAGGATTATAAACTAGAAATCTTGAAAAGTAATGGTATTAATGAATTTACGCCATTGTATCGAATGTGACTTTATTTCATGAACCTACTACCAACACCATGAATTATTCTATATTTCCTCCCTCTCCTTGTGAATTCACGCTCAAAACCTTACCATATAGACCAAAACCTTGTTCTTAAAATAATTATAAATTACAATATTATCTCCACTGCTACATTGAAGTGACAAACCCACTTATAATGATTCTTGAATTACATCATAAGAAGCACAATAGTTATGCGCAAACCTACAAAATAACTATGAAATGTTCAATTCATCAGAGCCATTTTTTTAAAAACAATATAGAGTTGATGAAAATCTAAAACTGTATGCTCAATAAAAATACATGAAGTGAACATTAAGATGAGCATTATGAGTTTCTCACTTATGGTTGAGACACTCTTCTAAATTTCCCTTCCAATATCCTACACTCTATTTGACTCATGGTGATTGGGGTATTGTAGCATACACATGAGTCCTTCGATATCTTGGTTCATAGGTTTACTGCCTAAGGTAATTCATAAGCTGATGTTAAAAGTTGGACTTCACATGTTCCATGAGATTGTTTCATGCAACTCTTTCCTTTTGAGGATTCTTTCCTTCGGCATTACCATTGGTTCGGACATATAATGATCTTCTACTACAACAGACATGCAACTTACCTTCTTCGGAAAATCACATATACACTGGATACATAAATGTTATTGTGCCTAGGATGAATTGTAAATTTGTTATAATCCAAGTGTGATGAATTGAAACATGCATTTTTTATTAAATCATGGAGGATTCTAAGACTAGAGAGGGAGTTGAAGGTAAACTTGAATTATGGAGGTCAACCTTAGAGGCTAAAGGTTTTCGCTTGAGTAGATCTAAAACGGAATATATGGAGTGTAATTTTAGTAGTAATAGACCTAGTGAGGGGATTGTGACTTTGGGCGATCAAGTCATTAATAAGAGTACACATTTTAGATATCTTGGATCTGTTGTTCAGAGTGATGGTGAAATAGATGGAGATATTATCAGCAGAATTCAAGTTGGATGGTTGAAGTGGAGGAATGCATCGGGCTTGTTATGTGATAGAAATGTACCCCTCAAACTTAAGGGAAAATTCTATAAGATGGTAGTGAGGCCTGCAATGCTTTATGGTGACGAATGTTGGCCATTAAAAGAGAAGCATAATACTAAGTTAAGTGTGGCAGAGATGAGGATGCTCAGGTGGATGAGTGGCTTTACCCTTAGAGATAGGATACGAAATGAGCATATACGTGAAAAGGTTGGAGTAGCTCCAGTAGAAGATAAGATTAGAGAGAGTCGCCTTAGATGGTTTAGTCACATAAAACGGCGGCCTTCCGATGACCCGGTTAGGAGAGTAGAGGTATTAGATTTGACTTATGTTAAGAATGGTAGGGGTAGACCTAAAAAGACTTGGTTAGAAAATATTAGGAATGACCTTTCTTTATTAGATTTAAATGAGAATTTGACTTTTAATAGGACACAATGGAGAAAAAGGATTCATGTAGCCGACCCCACGTAGTGGGATAAAGGCTTGATGTTGTTGTTGTTGTTGTTGCATGGAGGATTCTAAGAAGTTACTTATTTTGGGTCTTTCTAGTCTATAAATGGGACCTCAGGGACATGCAAAACTATTATTGAATTGTTGAATTAAATCTTTTTCTTAATTTTTGTGTGCTGTTAACGTAATTGCTTCGAGCGCTTTGCATGTTTTATTGATAGCTTTCGGGGACGATTCTCCCTGTACTGGCATGCAGCCAAGATTTCCAATTTAACAGTTCTTAAAGGCTCAGCAATACATGATAAGTGAAACATGAGCACTATCTCCACTACTAGGAAAAAAATAAGGAATTTAAAAATACTAAGCCAAATAGCTTAGTTATGATGAAATATTATACCTCTCCTTACGTTCTTGCAATATCTTCTTCTGGGTCTTGTAGTGATTCTCAATAAACTGCTTAGCAGCTGCAACCCTCTGCTTTGTTATATCCGAAAGAGGGGCCTCGTCAATTGGGGGCTTCTGTGCATCATTCATGCTCTCCATTTCCTTTTTCTTCGAAACAACAGGCTTCACTTTACCCTCTCTTAGCTGGAATTTCTTGAACCAACTTCTGGTAGAATCCATCACACTCACGACGCCATCATTCTGAAACCAAAATACAATAGCATCTCGCCGGAGTTAACAATACCAGCAAAGCATCCAATTTGAATAGAAAAATCCATAAAAGTTTCTCGTGATTTAACTCGTACCAAATTCCTCAGGGCAATCGCTGACAACCCAATCGATTCAATTCTTCTCCGTCTATACAACAAAAAAAACCTAGAAATCCTCCGTGATCCGACAAATCTCACGTATGCGCCAAAATCAAATGCTGCCCAGGGAATGTCCTGACCACCGCCTCTGCATCGCGACGTCCCTCCACCCTTTTGGACCAGGCGAAACGTTTCTCCTTGACTCGCTTTGCAGCTTCCACGCGCCTTCCCAACTCCAACTGGAAGCGAACACTTCGCCTATCTATAAAAAATCTCCTCCGGAAGGACCGAAAAGGCCCTGGGCTCGCGGCAAGAGCCAGCTCATTTGAGGCATTTTACGGATACCTCCCTCTAAAACTCTGATATTAGAGTACTCATGTTAAAGTTTAAAAAATTGATAACATCGATTAAATTTATCATTTGTTTAACATTGGTTTTAAATTTATAAATACCGACAAAATTATTTATGAAATTAGGGTTTTAATTGTAATAAGTAAAAATAAAATCCTCATTTTGTAAAATATGTATTTCATTTAAAAGTTACCAAATAACTCGTAAAAGAAGAATAATACAATTAAATATTATTTGTATTTGGTGATAAAAATTTATATTTTTGTCCCTATCTTTTAATCTATGAAGTCATTCACTCAAAGAATAGTAAGGGTTGAGTAACCAAAATATTATTATAAATAGATTAAGTTATACACTATTTATTTTAATTATGTACAATTTATTTATTTTTAAATGATATTACAAATTCATAATATAAATTAGCAAAATAAAAAAGTTGGCACTCATATAAAAAATAAAGTGGTCTAAAATAAAATAGAATGATCATACTCATAAAAAGATAACCTTCGCAAATAAAAATCTCGGAAAAAAAGTGTGCCAATAATTTGATTGTAAAATCAAACTTAAATGAGAGAGTGGAGTAGAAAATTAATAACCAAAAATTGCCTTTGATCAAAGAAAGGTCAAGCATAGACTAGCTAGAGATACATTATTGCAAAGAAAAATTTAGGACATAGATTAAGATTTGAGTGAAGTGTTAAATTCTTATTTACAGTAAAGAAAATTTAAGAAACCTCATACACATAATCTTTAATTAACTCTTATGCTTGAGATAAGGGTCATTGAACAAAGAAATATATTTTTTTAACCAGTAGTAAAGTGTAAATTAGGGTGTATACTATTTATTGAATAAATAAATCTTCTCCATAAATAAGAGGATATGGTTGATGTGGAATGACATATAAGTATTGTATAACTTACATTTCTCTTTATTTTAGGTAGTTTAAAACTAAGAAGAGAAATAGAACCTTTTTTGGAGTATTATTATCTTTAATGAATGGAGAACAAAGTCTTAAAATTTTTAAATTTGATTTAAGAAGCAATTAAGCTTATATCAAGGAGGACATTATGTTATATAGGGTAGTTTTTAAGTAGTGTCCAAATAATATTCTGAAATTCTCACATGTAATATGACCATGCCTGATATCAAATAAAATCTAACAAAATTTGAGACGCCTTAACAAAAATGAAAAACAAAAAATTTAGCATACATGTGGTAAGAAGTGTCTGAAGTCATGGCTTATATAGAAAGAAAAGAAGCCCCTATTATATTTGTTATCAAGAATGTAAGAGAAAACATCTATAACAAAGGGGGTATGTAGGGTGATAAATATTATTTTGTCCTAAGCAACTCAAATATGAGATTTTTTTTTATGAAAAGCATCATATCATTGATGACAATAGAGAAATGAACATCTAATCACACATATTATATAAAATCATCTTATTTGGGATATAATTCAGTTGAGTAAGATAAATCAAAATGAGTGTGGTCTAAAGAGATTTATAATTCAATCATATATTTTTATTAATCATAATTAATTTGGGCAACTAATTATGATTAATGTACGTGAGATATTAATGATAGTAGAGTGAGAGAGTTTAATATCTTTGCTTTATATAAAGATTCAACATACACATAGAAAATAAGGTTGCATGAGACACTAAAGTTTATTAAAAGAAAATATAAAAAAATAGAAAAAATAGCAATACTTGTATATGTCATTTGTTATAAATGACGTCCTTCGTAGTATTTAGGAAAAGAGTTGATGCAATAAAGTTGACATAAACTATGGATAATTAATTTTGTGGTGGAAGTTGGGAGTCTTACGATATTAGAGTTGTTCTCATGAGATATTTTATGATATATTTTGTTATTTTCCCATGAGGAGATTAGACCAGATATCATAGTTTAATATAATTAATATTGAAGGATGGTGTTATTGTCAAAGTGTGCATCAGCCTTACTAGGAATGGAATGCATTGATGTTGCTTCTAATGGTAGAGAATAAAGTTAGCAAACATTGGCATTGTTGTCCATTGCATGTGTCATTATTATTAACAATTGTGGGTGACAAATTAAATGTGAATCAATATTCTGTGTGAACACCAAGCATTGATCTTATATGTAAGTAATGGTGTGAATCACACTAGTGTTAGTGACAATTGGTGGACATATATGAGAGGAGTCAAAGTTGGGACAAAGTTGGTGAATCAATATATATATATATATATATATATATATAATGGTGTTTAATATTTTATTGTTATAATGATGTAACATATACTTAGGGAAAAAGTTACAAGAGACAAAAAAATTTATATGAAATATTCAAAAAGGGGGGAAATTATGGGGCATTGTCCAATTGAAATAGTCTACTATATAATAAAAGAAACAAGAGTACTCTTCCATTCTATTGAAATATATATATATATATATATATATATATAATGGTGTTTAATATTTTATTGTTATAATGATGTAACATATACTTAGGGAAAAAGTTACAAGAGACAAAAAAATTTATATGAAATATTCAAAAAGGGGGGAAATTATGGGGCATTGTCCAATTGAAATAGTCTACTATATAATAAAAGAAACAAGAGTACTCTTCCATTCTATTGAAGGAGAAGATTATGCAATTGAGAATAATTATTTTATTCATTTTACATATATTATAAAAGAAGTGATGAAAGGTGGAGATAATAATAAAATATTAGCCAAGTGATGATACTATAATAAAAGTTAGGTGTTTGCATGCAAACAATAGAAGTCAGATTGTGGCGTCGAATGTTAGTAGTCAGGTGACGAGAGTTAGACACAGAAGTTAGGCGATTGTGGAGACAATTGTTGATGAAGGTACTCATCGTGCAAGACACTAAAATTTTTTAGATCTCTCAGTTCCATAACCCCCCTCATGTAGAAAATGTCGTATTATTATAGTTTTTTTAAGAGAGGTACTGGTTTTTATTACATAACAGAAATTCTGATAAATTTCTTTGGTTGCATGATTTTTATTAGTTATCCTTATTTCAATTATTGGATGTTCTCAGTTACCCCCGTTGCTAAACTGCCATAGATTATTGAATGTCTTTTTTACTTTATATGACACAGTTCTTAGATTTTGTTAAAAACATAATTATACAAAAAAAGTAAATGATATCAAAATAATTCAGTCATAGTTAATTGGATAATTTCTTCGAACATATGGGCCCAAAGCCTCATATGGAAAGAAGGGCTTTTAGTGCTCGAGGTAATATGAGCCTCGCCCCTTGTCTGATAGAGCCGGAGGGAGAAGCTCGGCCTATTTAGCAAAACAGAGCGCTGACGGTATCGAATTCGGGTTCAACGCCGAACGGGTCCGCCGCGTGCAATATCCGAAAAATAAGGGTGAATGATGAAATGCAGCTTCTCCAACTGCAGATTTTGACCCCACATTATGATCGACCGCCAACTGCTTTGTAAGTTTATCTTTTACAGTCCGTGCAACCAACCGGGCGCTGGCCTATTAATTTGAATTGGTTACAAGAATTTTAAATATTTAGAGTTTATAACATCAATTTTTAAACAATTAAATACACATTATAAAGAATCCTTTGAAATTTTTTATTCTTCTTAAAGTATTTAAAAAATGAAGGAGTAGATGAGCATACTTTATGTTTAATATGTCTCTAAAAATTTTGATAATTAAATTTAAGATTATTTGAAATTTGATTTCAACAAATATGTTGACAAACTAAACATCTCAACAAGAAGAATCAGTCAATGCTACAAATGATTCGACCTGATTCTAAAATGAGCTAAAAACAAGTACTTGAATTATATTTGAAAATTTTTAAAGATAAATTGATCCACCAAACGACCTCTAATTGTATCATACATAATGTCAAATCGAGAGACTCGGCGAGATGAATCTAACGATGCTAAGATCACTTGATTCTGACACTGTTATTGCATTCAAATATTTCACAAACGGTCTACAATCATGGGAATCAATATGAATTTTACTATGAAATTTTTTTTATTCCGACCAAATTTACTAAAAGGCCCAACTCAAAAGGCTATAAATAAAATCTTATCCTCTGTAAAGAGAAGAAGTTCAAGAGCTAAGTGAATGAAAAAACTCTTTAACTTTTTTTGCTATTGTTATGGACAACTTGCAAACTTTTTTAAAGATAAAATCTTGTTGTTGGGTTTATAATTATCCGCTTGCAAATATTTAAATTTTTTAATCTCTACAAAGAGAATCAGTCAATTATTCTCATTATAAATAATATTATTTTCATCAATTATGTGAGAGTTTTTTAACATCTTTTATTATATAGTGGATTCTTATAAGAATAATCTTTAATTTTTTATTTTATTTTTTGACTTATTAATTGAGCTTGTACTCTCCAATTTTAAAGATGAAAATATGGAACTTGAAGAATACAAGTTCAATTAATAAGCAAAACATAAATTAAAAAAAAATAAGAAAAATTGATTTTTTTTTTCCAAAAAAAATATTTTATTTTATTTTCTTTACGCAAATTATATACATTTTTTGGACATTTGGGTCAATTTAGACAAATTCACAAGCTTCAAATCTAAGACCTCTTGGTTGATAATCAAGACTCCCACCTAACATACCAAGGTGAACTAAGTCAATTTTACATTTCTTATGGGCAACTCTTTAAATCAAACTTTACTGGTTTTATGAAATTTTACTCTTTGTTAGGGTTTCTTACCCTAGCTGCCTCTCATGTCAGTCTCCCTCTCCCCTCCTCTTCTGGCCTGGCTAGGAGAACCCCCATCCCTATTCATCTTCATAGCGAACCTTACTTCGACAGCTAATTTCTTTCCCTTCTCCAAACTTTCACAAAATGCCCCTTCCTTAGCCCTAAAGAGGAGTAATTGTTGAGCTTTGAGAAAGATTTCTC